GCGGCACCCCAAACAAGCCGTAGAATATACAGAAGAGGCGCCCGGCCGACGTCTTGGGAGCAATATTGCCATAACCTGAACAAAACCAAAACATAAAAAATACTAAAATCACAAAACAGACACAAAAGAGGGCATCACTTGCAGACTGCTTACTGAAAAACATTACAGGGCATTTTTAGGGAAGAAGAGCATGCGCTATCACAAGTTTTATATAGAAGGGTATATAGGAGTCAAGCTGGGCAGGTACGTTTTATAACTGAACTCCAGGCAAACTGCAAAGTACACAACTGTTTTACCGGCCAAAAGGAGTTCTAATTCTGTTTTAGTCAGTCTTGTGATACAGACACCACTGATGGACAGAACATCCAAGTCTAAGACCTACAGCCTTGTCCAAGATCACCCCACCCAACTAATGGGTTCATCCTGTACTCCCCCACCCTATAACCATGTTCAGACGAAGTAGTAGTTCCATCCTGGTGACCACTGCCAACTGGACAAGGGACGGAAAGTCCAAAAATTTCCAATTTTGTCAATGGGATAAGACTAAAAAGGGAAATATTCCAATAGGGACACCTGTTCTGGTGACAACTGTTTAAGGCTAGCCATACACGGCTCGCTTTCTCTTGTTCAATCTGTGGGCTCAATGGGATGAAGCCACTCAATTTCTCCATTCGTGCTGTTTAGGACTCTCCCCTGCCGGCCACGGCTGCTTGAATACCCAAACAATGATTGGATCTTAATGGATGTTGCAGTTGGTTTTTAAATTGACTCGTCAAGCTAGGTGGTGCCAATAGGGCCACCCATGGCTAGAATTTCAGCCGAATTGAGCAGGCAAGGTATAATATTAAGATATATCCATCTCTATATAAAAATATTCTGCCACATGCTGTTTTGTAAAAAAAAATTAAACACATGACAAAAGGATTCACAGAGGTCTACAGGTTATAGAAAAGCACAGCAGGAGCAGCTTCCATTGGGCCAGGATCACACCCGGGCGAAACGTGACCATGCTGCAATCGTGCACAAAACTGCACACCACCGCGGAACGAGCTGGTAGTGCCATTCTTTTCTAATGGCACCCCAGTCATGCCAGGCACCCCAGGATGCCACCCGTGCAATCGCGCATGATCGCTGCTGGACAAAAAACATGCGGTGCGAGTGTACAATGCGGTGCGGCATGTACAAGTGTACCTTTTTTTCAGCGATTGCTGTTCGGATATAACCCTATTGAAATCAATGGGGCCACGCGATTGCACGGTCCCAGGATCGCCCGAATCTGCCCCTGGCCTGAAAGTTTCAAACGTTGCATTTACTTCCTCAGCCTCAATGTGTTTCTCACACTTACCAATTGTTGTAATCACAGTCGCTGCAAAGATAACCGCATTTGGCCAGTTCCAGTTGTTGAAGGTAGTGTTCCCGGTAATAGTCACCCCCTGGCCGGCAGCATTGGACACCGTCTGCGGATCAAAAGCAGTAAGGAATTATTTAATGCGGTCCTTGAACTTTCTGTTCTCTTTGTTTCTTGTACTAAATGTTATCTACAGAACAAGCTTGCCTTTATGTAAAGATTACATCAGAAGAAAAGATTTGGAACAATGATAGGAGGATTGGGAAGGTCTAGTTTGCCGTAGACACACAAGAATTATGATATAAGGCCAAAGAAAAATATTACCATTAAAAAACAAAAATTACATTTTGGATATTCTGCTGCCAATGAGTGCAAAATGGTTGTTTCGGGAACAGTTTTCATAGCATATCAACCAAATCAGAAGTGATCTTTTGAACGTTTTGTAACGAACCTTTTTGGGGGACAATATATGCATGGATTGGAGAAGTCAATATTGGCTCTGCCCCTCCTATGTCTCCTGCTTCCTAAACCTCCCTACTGGCTTTCACTGTAATTGGCAGCCTTGTGGACCAATAGAGATGCTCTGCAGGCTGCAGGAGCAGGTGCCAAGCTTGACTTTTTAAAGAAAAGTGGTTTCCACATAACTTTAGCCAGCTCTAGGTGTGGAACTACTGTTGGTTCAGTTATACAGTTTCCTCCTTAGCCGACACTCGCTTTTTCTGTTTTCCATTATATTCTCCATTTGGTTTGTAACAGGGTTACTGTAAGAGTAATTTTAGAATCCGTCCCCACCCAGCTTCACATCATCATTCAGTCATTCAATAATGTTCATCACACATGACATTTACTGCAAACATGTAATTGCGATACTAAAAAGGAAAATATAAATTTTACAAGCGGCAGATTATGCAACTCTCAATGGATGGGAACATCTTACAGGAGTTCATGTTATGGCACAACACGTCCTGCTCCCAACTCAGGTGTGATTGAATCAAATATTACAGACTGTCCTTCTATCCGACAACTCTGCTCATAACGTGCGACTACACGAGCAGCACAACAAGGCCGACTGTCACTTGTAACAGGCGGACAGGAAGCCAGTGCGTATAGAAATCTGTCTCCTTAAGGTTAGAACAAGAACATATATTTCGCTTTTATGACCCCCCAGGAATTTGATGTGGATTTGTTAAAGGAGAACTATGGGGTTAGGGCTTAAAAAAAAACAAAAAAAAAAAACAACAACATATTCAGGAATTGTTTTATTAACCAACAGGTGCGTCCACGCTCTTGAGATTCAACTGATGCCTACTACACTTTGCTACCTGGCACAAAGTGGGCAGATAAACATTTAAGGCCTCGCAGTTTGGCACATGCTATGGCATTGCCCTGCTTTCTGGCTGTTCTTTGGACTGCCAATTAGCCCCTTCTAACAAAATATTAACCTTTAATACAATGGTTGTCAACATACAAGGAATAGGAGAGCCTCAAATGTGACCTCTGGGCTCTCCAAAGGGCCACATAAAATATTTAATTGTATGTAATATTACAGAAGACAGTCATAGATTGAAGACTTCCTAGAGAAAATGGTCAGAGAGTGTTCTACAGGAGTGACTGGAGACTGAAAACATCCTGTAGGATACATCCAGCGACTACCCACATGCTAGCTATCCCTAATATAATCCTTTAGTTTATAGGGTACCCACTGCAAGAGCAGACAGCTTTCAGAGGGTGCGTGGCCAAAAAAAATAAAAAACATTATATATATACACACACACACACACACACACACACACACAAAAATATACATATATACATACATACACATATACACACACACTCTGAGTGTCCAGTTTATTATGACCACCTGACGTTTGTAGGCAAATTAGCTATAATTTTGCGCTGAAGTTGCTAGAGGGCCAGACCATTATAAATAGGGAAGCAGGTTGTTTACCACGACAGTAGAAGTGATTTGTTTCTGAAGATCTGGGGAAACAGCGCGATTTAACAGCCTTTGAACGTGGGATGATTGTTGATCAGCAAAACAGCAGAATTCGTGGCCCAACGAAAAATCTCGTGGCCCAACGAAGTAGTGATGGGGTGGTCATAATAATCTGGCCACTCACTGTATATGACACACAAGCCATTTTAGCTTTTATTTTTTGCTTACATGTTTAAAAAGGAGAACTATGAGGCGAGTGAAAATCACTCATCCTCATAGTTCGAGCCGACGTGTGACAACGAAACTGTCACACATCGGCTCAATAGATCGGGAAGTGAGCGAACACATACCGTCACTCGCTCACTTCTCAATCATGTGCCTGCAGAGAGCCATGACTGTCACTCACAGAGAGCCATGACTGCAGTTACAGCTGGCTCTGCCTCTAGATAGGCAGAGCCAGCTGTCGCTCACGCAGCTGGGTGGATCCAGACAGTATTGTCGGGATCCATCCCGGCTGCGGCGGTCTCAGTATGCCGCGAGCTGTAGCTTGCTATATACTGAGCTTTTGGTGATTGGAGGATGCTAGTTTGTGTCCTCCCATTACCCTTAGGAGAACTATGGGGAAAAGCACTGACCCCATAGTTCTGCTTTAATTAAATAAATGGCACATTTGTAAAAGTCAAGTTGTCAGTCGCATTTGCTGTCCCTTATAAAAAAAAATTAAAAACAAAATAATTCTGTGTGGCATCAACTTTGCCTGGTAAGTTGAGCACAAAAAATCCTCATGTTGTTGCTTTTCTGTTAGAGGAACCCCAATTCAGAGAAGAAAGAAGTACAGGCGACCCTATTTTTGATCTGTGGAAGATAATGGAGCGGTGAGGAACAGATGACAGGAAAGAAAGCCTCTATCTGCTTTGTACCATTTGGTGTTTGGCTCCTCTGTACTTGGCAGGAGCGCAGCCTTCCACACTATCTGTGGAGGTCCGTTACACGGGGGAGGATGACAAGAACAGATATTCGAGGAGAAAGTGCCAAAACCCTGCACTAATCTGTGCCACTCCCAACCAGGGCGGAACACAAAGCGCTTTCATCTGTGCAATGTGTTACTTGGAAGAGCCAGAGAGAGAATGAGAATGAGATTCTGAGAGCCAAGAGCCATGCACTGTGCATTAAAGGAGGAGCCCCAATTTAAAAAAAAACAAAAAAACTCTAATGATATAACAGTTCAAATTTCTAAATACAAAGTACTAATTTTGCCTGGCTGGTAAGAGGGGCTGGCAGGGTGCTATACATGGCTTACTGAACACATCACAGCACTCTACCCAAGTATGACTCTCAAGAGCCCCCAGTCTTTATGCAAGTAGTAGGCTGGGTCTTGGGGAGGAGTTATGCAAATATCAAAATGCCTTGATGGGCGGTTGACAGTCTGGAGTGGGCGCTTATAAGCAGGTAGTACCTGCATGCATTGGGTGAAAATGCTGCTCGTCTATAGATACAGTACAGCATTGTCACCCTAGGACGGGAAGCACATTGCTGGCAGCATCAGCCTACCTATTGAATCTGCAAATATGGCTGCCCTCATGTACAATTACAAACTAATACGGAAAAATTGCATCACTGATCATATGTAGAAGTCCAGTAACAGCACGTGTGGTCCTACACAATGACCTTCCGGCATCTTCCAGCACTTGAAAAAAGAACACTTG